ACACTCCTGCTTGGGGAAGCTACTGCTGTATCCTCGACCCAAGAACTTTGGAATTCAGATTCTAATAAGTACTGAAATTGAAACATTTTTATCCTTCCTTTTTTTTTCCCCCCCTCTCCCTGTTCCTTTTAAATCAAAAGCTTGTTGATTGCATCACATGCCACACTTTTGTATATCTGGAAAATAATTGCTTAAGGAAATAAATGCTGGTTTCAGTACATCTGTGATTTGGGTTCCTAGGAAATAAAATTTGTTTTATCTGTAGGTGTATTTTTCCCTTGAGAACAGTTTTCTATACTGCCATATTTAACAATTGTCCTCAAATTGAAGTCTAAAAATAGTTTTCATGTCCTGTCACGCTGTGGAGAGATTAATCACCGTGAAAATGTTTTGAGCTGATTTTTCAGTCTAAAAACAATTTATAGAGATATCTCAAATTCAGAATTTGGTGTTAGATGAAATCTAAGGTGATCTCCTTGTAGCATGTATCGGGAGAAAAGATGCACTGAAATAAATTTTCTTGTCAAGTTAGGGGTCAAGAATTGAGCATCTTGATTTCTATCTTAAAAATTAATGACTTTCTGCTCAGTTGTTGTTGAAGGTCCCACATAACTAAACTGGGAAGCTTAACAGCCTTGGTGAAAGCTTTTCATCAGTCAGCTTGCAACTGCTATTGGAGCTATAATTGAAAAAAATGCTTCATACAGGTTTTTGAAGTTCTTTGTAAAATATATCAACAGATGCCTTTTCTTCTTAGTTCCAGGTTTCCCTTTAATTAATGAGAGGATGACTGTGTGTGCATGCACCTCAAGCTTGTTTGTGTTAGGCAAGCTACCCTATGATTAAGCACCCATGCTAATCTTCTATTTCATTTTTCTAGTGAGTTTGTATGGAAGAGATGCTGTGGTTCCCCTCAAACTCTATTATAAACTAATTTCAACGTAAGTAATCGATCAGTATCGATATGCAGGATCTAGACCTGAGTATATAGAAAATAGAGAAAAGTTTAAAAGTTTTAACTTTCTTCATACACTTTTTTA